CCCCTAGTCAGACACGGCTACGTCACGTAACAGCAACAAAAACATGAACAAACACTGAACGATTGTCTTTTTATTAACTAACATTAACACAGATTAATAAATGTATTGTTCCATGTTCGTTTGTATATCGCGCAAGATTTATGCGCATAGTCCAAGTCTTCTCCGTTTTTAGTGTTTCTCTGTGGCAGAATTACAGTGCCACATGCTGGTCTGGCATGTATACTACATCGTTTTGTGTCGGTTTCGTGTGGACGCAGATATTTCTTGAGACAAGGGGGGAAAAAAAAAGATCGGATAGGGAAAGCTCTGGCTTCGTGTGGACGTAGCCTGAAAGTGATCGAGGATGGATAATTTCGCCGAACTTGATTAACTTGTGATATCTTCTTCAGGGCGAAAAAGGAAAATAAAAGCTGAAACGTTTTCACGGAACCTAGCAAAACCAGCGCGTTACAATGGTGAGGGAAAAGCTCCGTACACACATCCATACAGTTTATGATCACAGGACTGTTGGAGTTATCTGCTTTTGCTACAAAACAAACTTTTAATATGTAAAAAAAAAACATACTTTCAATGAACTTTAATTTTGTAAATTACCTGTATTTGTTTAAGTTATTATTACTTAATCAAAACAACCCAACTGCAGTTTGATTGATATTACTTGGAATGCGCAATAAAAAAACGGGATTTCGGAAAAAAAAAAAAAAATAAAGTTATTGGTTTTTGCAAATGAACTCTTCATATATTTGATGATAATAATAACACATTTTGTTTATAGAGCACTTTTCAAGGTGCTCAGATGCTTATTTTAGCTACTGTATTCTTTATCTATTTAAAAACTCTTAGAGTTTGAAGCCAAAAGCAGTTAAGATACGATATCTGTGCTTATAACACATTAATATATTCCTCTTAGATGGTTTTCGGAAAGTTGTCCACATCGAGCAGGGTGGGCTGGTAAAACCAGAGAAAGACGACACAGAATTCCAGCATCCATATTTCATCCGCGGACAGGAGCATCTGCTGGAGAATATCAAGAGGAAAGTCACAACGGTAGGTAGAAACTCATCTTCCTGATGACCCGCCTTTGCTGAAACATCTGGGAATATATGAGCAGGGTGTTTTATGAGATATGAGCCGCAGTGACCTTGAGTTTTGAATGATGTCCAGGTTTTTATAATTAGTTGGTATTTTCAGAGGGGCTTTTTTGATCCAAAGCAGCTTTACAGTCAGGCTGAAGTTCATTTAGGACACAGTCGTGATGTCAGACCACTAATGCGGACTGAATTGATCTGGGTGTTTGGGGGATTCCCTGCTGTTCATGTTTGGCTTTGAAACCTGCAGCGTTTCACTTATAAATGAACAATTGCCGGAGTTACATTTTCGCACAGGGAAAAACATAATAAAGTGGTATTATAAATGAACTTTTCTCAGTCAATCTAATGTTCTGACACCTAAGGTGTGTTTTAAGTTTATTTAATTAATTATACATTTTAAATGCAAGTCAATTAATGTAATACGTTTTCAGAATGGCTGCTGTAGTTAATGTGTTAACATGTAAAATTAAGAGAATTTTCTGAATATTAAAATATTTAATTAATACACAAAAAATGTAAATTACTTATTTATATTTAATATTTATTCAATGATGTTTAATATATAAAAAAAATCTGTATTTTATTATGTGAAAAATAATTAGTTTAGTAATTTAGTAATAATTTTAGTTTTTAAAAAAACGAAGCATTAACACGTTAGACTGCACCCCATAAACACAATCAAGCCTAGAAAAAAGCCAGTGAACCACCCCTTTAATTAATAGGTCTCTTATGAAAAGATTATTATTATTACTTTTAAATCACAGATTAAATGTTTTTTATACATTTAGTTTTTGTTTGTCATTTATAGATAATTAGTTTATTTACTTTTTCCTGTTTTTGAAACTTAAGTGGGTCATGAGCGGAGAAATCAAAATTCCCTTGATCTTTTGACATAGAAGAGGTCTTTGTACTATAAAAACATTCTGTAAGTTTCAGAACTCAAAACTTTCTTGTTAGTCTAAAAACAGCTTAAATTGCCAATCTGCATAAACAACAGGTTGTGGAATGTGCCACTTTATGACGTAATGATGTGGCTAAACCCCGCCTCCGCAGAAGAAGATCAAGGCCTGCTTCTACATCACTGCCTTTTTAGCTCCGCCCACTGGAGCGTTACTACGATGAGGAGAGAACAGAAATACAGGATCACTGGACTAACAAAAAAAAAACATTGCCTTCCAAAGGATCCTAATTCTAGGAAAGTGATTATTTTTAACAATGAGAAAATAAGTAGAGCATTAATTTTTCAGTACATTTCACTTTGGATTCTTTGGTAAATCAGTCACAGTTTCGGCGCAGGCTTTGCAAACAGACTTTTACTGTAAGATATGGACCTGATAGTAATACAACAACATGTAAGTAACAGTGTTCATTCTAATGCCTAATCTTAAAATATATACAGAAAGCGATCAAAGAACGCTCCGTTTATAATCGCTGGAGCTGTCAATCACACAGCACGAGTTTATATTCAGTGACGCGGTCTACACTGCACAATGAATCTCTTATTTACGTTGTGTTTGCACTGTTAGTTATGATGAAAGCAAATGTGAAAGTACAAAACTCAAGTTGCAATGATGAGATCACTGCATTCATGCGCTCAACAGTTTGTCATCAGCTACAATGCTCATTGCTGCAACCTTTCATGCAACGGGAGTTGATCTAAATATAATGCTATAATCAACACTTTTCACAGTTATCATATATCAGCAGCTGTAACAGTAAGAACGCAGTAAAAGTTTTTGAGAGAGCTCAACATGTAATACTTATTTCATATGCTTCATATGCAAGATGTTAGCCAATCATAGCAACGGGTGTTTCTATTGGAATTCTCACAGCAGACACGCCCCTTTCAATAGAGTGTTCAAATCAGAGGGCTAAAATCAGGGTAGAAAATGTCCTTTTATTTCTATATTATGACTGTTTTTGATGTAAAAATTATACTAACATTATTAGTGCGCCTATGGAAACATCAAATATTTAAAGTGCAGTTCATGGCCCCTTTAACAACTACCTTACTAATTATTAATAAGCAACAAATTAGGAGATTACTGAGGCAAAACTCGTAGTTAATAGTTAGTTAATCGTGAGAATTGGTCCCCAAACTAAAGTAAAGTTTCCTAAATGTTGTGCTTCCTAAGCAGATCTTTCAGGCAACGCAGCTGTGCGTATGAAAGGACCATGCAGTTGTTTGTGTAATAGATTTTTCATAAAATTTTTGTGTCCTTTAAACTTTTTTGTCCATGATTTCAAATGTTCTTTAACTTGTAGGATTTCTTCGGCATCGTTGTGTTTGAATTTTCCATTTCCACCACAGTGATGTTCAGTATTTTCCTGTGGTTTTGTTCCTGTGTGCTGGACTGTGTTTAGGACGTGTTTCTGTGGCTATATTGGACTTGTGCGCGCACACTTAAAATGCCATTTTATCAGTGTCAAGGGAGCAGAGTTTAAGAGAAGCAGGCCTTACTCAGACACCCTGAAAAAAACAACCGCCCCAGAGTATTTTTTTTTTCAGTAGTGTTTACAAAGTTTAGTGCTGTGGACAAACAATTGTGAACAAAACATGCATGAAAATTTCAGTTCTGACAATTTCTAACAGAACTCATTGCCTGAAACTTTATATTTCATCTTTCTGTCTCTCTCTCCCGTAGTGAGAATGAGGGTCTCTGGAGGGAAGTTGCCACTTTGAGACAGAAACATGCTCAACAGCAGAAAGTCGTCAATAAGGTAAAATCAGCAAACTTTCTCCTGCTTTCAGAGTGACACATACATTTGTTGGTATAAAGTCGCAACAAAGCCTTTGCAGTTAAAAGTTCATCCAATCCAGCCTCAGAGGCAGCCTTATCAGTTTAAAGTCAAAATGAAATGTCATAAGCATCACATTTTATTTCCAAAACATGACCGATTCATTTTGATTCACCAATGGATCCTCTGCAGTGAATGGGTGCCGTCAGAATGAGAGTCCAAACAGCTGATAAAAACATTTCAATAATCCACAAATAATCCACACCACTTCAGTCATGTAAAATATTTATTAAATATTATTTTAATAAAATAAATGAGTCCTTTATCCATAAAATTGCTTTCGTCAGTGAAAACATTTTCTCATCTGAATCAGGAGAGAAATATGCACAGTGAAAACTGTCCAAAACAGTTTTGAACAAATATGTCTGTGGATTTTGATGTGAAAGGACAACAAGGGGTAGACTTTTTTTTTACTTGTAGATTATTGTGATGTTTTTATCAGCTGTTTGGACTCTCATTCTGACGGCACCCATTCACTGCAGAGGATCCACTGATAATGCTAAATTTCAAAACTAACCTACCTAACCTACATCCATATTTTACTGGACTCTACAGTTTTTAATGTAAATAGAAAATGTTTTTATTCTTAGATTTTTAACTGATGTATTTAAAAAAAAGTATCATCTGAATGTATTTTAGAAGTTATATATACATGCGAATGTCAAAGAAAAAAGTTGTAATCGATTTTTTCTTTTGTTTCCACAGCTCATTCAGTTCCTGATCACACTGGCACGGTCCAACAGAGTCCTGGGAGTGAAACGAAAGATGCAAGTCAACCTCAGATTAACACATATATCCACATTGATAGCTTGCTATTTAAAGGGGTCATATGTTGCTACATGCACTTTTACAAGTTGTTTGAACTGAAATGTGTGTTTGATTTACATAAATGCGTCTATGTTCGCGCTAATCATTCGTAAACCAGCTTCACCTTAAGAAGTGAGTGTAAGGTTTTTTTTAATGAATCTTTGCAAATCGCCTTTCCTAATAATGTGCTAATTAGCAAGTTTCTCAATGAATGCGACTAAAGTAAACAGTCCCTCTAAAAGCGGCTCGGGCGGGGTCAGCAGAGCTCATTAACATTTAAAGGAAAATGCTACAAAATTGCGTGCTCTGAAAAGAGCTGTTTTTGACAGGGTAAAAAGGTATTTTTTACAATACCATTGAGAAATTTTAACCAAACTATGTTACAGACTTTACATTAAGACCCTAAATAATCATATCAACTTGTGGAAAATGGGCATCCTATGACCCCTTTAACTGTAGTGTAGTACAGTATGTGAAATGTTGTTAACTGTGATTGTTGTCCATTCTAACGTTTCACCTCTTCTATTGTGCCCTTTATTTTATGGGGGATTTTTTCTCTCTCTCTTTCTTTCTCTCTGTTTGTTCACAGGCCCCTGATGTTGAATGATGGCAGCTCCACACACTCCATGCCCAAATACTCTCGGCAGTACTCGCTCGAGTCTTCTCCGTCTCTCTCTGTGAGTACTGCATGCTTCTATCTCAAATTCTGAGCTTGAATATTCCAATGATTTTCAGATTTGTTAAGTGTAAAGTATGTTTTCCTGTGTGTAGCCCTCCTCTACAGCTTTCACAGGAACGGGTGTCTTCACTTCTGAATCGCCTGTCAAGACGGGGCCAATCATCTCTGATATAACTGAACTGGCGCAGTCCAATCCTGTGGCCACAGAGGAGTGGATTGAAGACAGGCAAGTTTCAGAAAATGGGTCAAAAGAAGTCACAATATGTGTATATATATATATATATACAGTATATATGTATGGTTTTCTTTTTCTTTTGTTTTTACTCGCGATCTTTACAACACGCATTACATTACGTATTTCATGGCACACTCGTTTTATGCGTATTTGGCTCCACCTAGTGTTGTGGGTGTCTTATTGACATGTCAAAGTCTAGACCCTGAATATAAGACGACCGCGTTTTTTCAGATGTATTTCCAAGAAAAAAATATCGTCTTATATTCGGGACAATACGGTATATATATATATATATATAAATAAATATAAATGTGCGTGTATGTATAATATTATTGTTATGACAATTAAGCACATTTTTCTTAAATTCTAGCACAATTAGCATAATTTTCATTATTGTTATATGAAAAAAAGTGTTATGTAGTGTTTACACATAAAAAATATTTTAAAACATTCGTTTTTAACAAAAAATCTGTACTTTTATCACAGTATTTTGATTTTGATTATTACTGTAATAAAAATCTTGTTGAGTATAATGGGAATTACGATTAGGGATACTCATTTAGGTTAATTTTCCTGACTGACAACCGCTGCTCATTATCCGAACATTAACCGTTAACTGATACAATTAGAATAATAAATTAGTATGGACAAGTTTCTGTGATACATTGTGACATTTTCATGACAAATAAGCACTTATTTTCAATTTTCTATTGACTCTAGCTGTTTTTGCCTCTTAAGTCTGTATGTTACAACCTCGTTGACATGGATCAACTGTAAGAGTTAAAAAAAAATGTGAAAGTCTTGAAGCTGTCTTGACATCTTTTTTTTCTTTTTTTTTTATCACAGAACAAGCCCACTGGTCCATGTCAAGGAGGAGCCCTCTAGCCCCGCCCACAGTCCTGAGGTGGAGGAGGTGTGTCCTGTTGAAGTGGAAGTGGGGGTGGGATCAGGTGTACCTGTGGACATGCCCCTTTCCCCTATAACCTTCATCAACTCCATCCTCCAAGAGAGCGAGCCTGTCACCGGCCTGACCCCGCCTCCCAATGACCAGAAGTGTCTGAGCTTGGCCTGCTTGGACAAGTGAGTTTTACCAACAAATGTACATCCGGTTGGAGCTGAACTCTGCAGGACTGCGGCTCTCTAGGACCGAACTTGCCTACCCCTGGTTTAGGACAAACAAAGCTACTGCTTCTCTGCTCAGTTTAAGTTCACAGTCTTCCTTTACCGAGTAACACTATTCCCATAGTTCCCTTTCATGCCACATAGTTTCTTCTCTTTGATCTTCTACTGTGTCTATCTTTGATCTTCTAGTGTGTATCGATTCTGTATGCAAACAAACATTCTCAGATTTATCACAAACAGCAGTTTCGAACATGAAATTGCAAAGAAGAATTGCAGAACAATTATTGGTCTGTTCTCACACAAAATGATCGTATGGTTTCAAAAGATTGAACTGAATGCACTACTTATGACACTTCATGGTGCTTTTTTTTGTCCAAGGGATGTTTTCACTAACTAAAACTAAATATAAAGAAAATATAATTAAACATTTTCATTACTTTAAATAAATACATGTTAACTGAAATAAAATAAAATATTAAAAACGTTTTTAATTCAGCTAGTTGCCAAGGCAACATTTCTTATTTAAGTTTAGTTAACCTTGAAGTAGGGATGCACCGATACCACTTTTTCCAGTACTCGCCCGATACCGATACTTTTATTTTTGGTACTTGCCGATACCGATGCCGATGCCGATATTTTTATTGCATTTGTACATTTTTTAAATATTGGGTACAGAAACCAAAAGGGTATGTATAACGTTAGTTGGTTAACTTCATTTATCAAATAGATAGTCAAACCAAAATTTATTCAGACACCTTCAACATTTCTCACATTATCACAGTTTATCATTATGCAGCGGCTTAATACTGTAATCACGCGCTTTGATGTAATAATGCAGAGCGAACATCAAAGATCACACAACAGAAGTGCACGCTCTCTCTCTCTCGCTCTCTCTCTCTGTCTCTCTCTCTCTCCCTACCGTTAAGTAACTTGTGCATTGTTTTACTTACTTGTTTTTGAC